CTCTGGAGACATTCAAACCCACCTGGACACGTTCCTGTGGGACCTGCTCTGGGTGGACCTGCTTTGGGAGGGGGGTTGGACTAGATGATCTCTGGAGGTCCCTTCCAACCCCATAGCATTCTGAGTTTCTGTGATCCTTAAGTGAAACAGCTTAAAAAAACATTCTCTGTGGCAGCTTTTCCAGGCAGAGGTTCCTGCACTGGAGCCGGGGGCAGCCCAGGACGCCGTCGCTGCCGCTCGCACGCTCTTCCCTCGGTGCTGGGCTCGTAGCACCACCAGGACGGCTGGATCTTCACCATCTCGCAGCCTCCAGGGTAATGAATCATTGATCGGGGTTGGCCTTTGCTTCTTCGGCGAATTATTTTCCCCGTCGTGGTTTAAATACATCTTTCATGGATGTTCTTTATTTTTTTAACGCGCTCTTCTTGGTTCCTCCTTTAAAGGCTCAATTATTGAATGGGGGAGGCAGAAGTGGAACGGGGTGATGCCTGTCGTGCTGAGGACAGGTTTTTTTTGCTGTGGACAAACTGCTGGGAAGGCAGGAGATGCAGTCACTGGGCTGTTCTCTCTCCTGAGAAGGAGCAGCTCCTGTCCTGAGGAGTAACCGCTGCCCTCCCACCCCCGGGGGGAGGGATGTTGGGGCTGGAGAAAGGCTGTTTGGGATTCATTGCCCACTCCCGTTTTCCATATTGGCCAAAACTCAGCTTAGGAAGCCGTTAGCCCCGGCAGCGCGGCAGCTCTGGGATAAATCACTGCTCTGGGCACGGCAGGAATTAAGAGAAGTTTGGCGTGTGGGTTTTTTGGGGGGAAAAAAAGGTGCCTCAGCCATGTCCGTGCCCCACACATCCCCCTTTGAGCATTCTCTGGGGGTGGGAGCGGGTCGGTGCAGGGCAGGGCCCCCCCAGGCTCGGGGAAATAACAATGTTGGGTAACACAAAGGGGACCCGGAGGGGGGATTCCAGCCCCACAGCTCCCACCTCACTTTAACTGGGGAGGGAGGTGTCACAGCTCGAGAAACCCACAACTCCTTATCGTCGTTCAGACAATTATTCTGGCACCTGATGACCCCTCCCCTCCCGGGAAGGGGAACTGGGGAGAAACAAGGAAACCTCAGAGTTGAAATATAAATAGATTTAATAGAATAAGACTAAATAACTAACATTATTAACACCAAAGAACCCATATTGATCCCAATACCACTATAAACCACCCAAGGACTATCTCCAGCCCATTCCCCAGCAGAAGCTGTGTCCTCCCAGCAGGGACAGCCAGTGTGGGACCCTGCGAGCGCTGGGGCTTCAGGAGGAAGGGAAGGGCTCAAGACTCCAGCACCGGGACAAGGGGTTCTCAGGACCACAACCATCAAAGTAGAGAGAGAACTCCTCAGCAAACCTTCTAATTTCTATTGAATGTGGTGTTTGTAGTATGAAATCACCCTGTTGGCAGCTTGGGTCATAGAATCATAGAATCATAGAATGGTCTGGGTTGGAAGGGACCTCCAAGATCATCGAGTTCCAACCCCCCTGCCCTGGGCAGGGACACCTCCCACTAGAGCAGGTTGCTCAAGGCCCCATCCAGCCTGGCCTTGAACCCCTCCAGGGATGGGGCAGCCACAACTTCCCTGGGCAACCTGTTCCAGTGTCTCACCCCCCTCAGAGTAAAAAATTTCTTCCCGAGATCTAATCTGAACCCGGGTCGAGTGTCCGGGTCTCGCTCCTCCTCGTCCCCGCCCCTGGGGAACTCAAAAACACCGAGACCTTGAAACTCACACAATATAGCTGGCTATAAAGTAAATACTTTCACCAATTCCAGCACTAGAGTCTTCTCAGAGTGCAGGTTTCCCCAGCATTAGAAGAGAAATTAGGCTCAGGAGGGAAGGCTGAGGTTTCAATCCAGTGCACAACATCTCCACCTGCCTTCTTCACCTTTCCTTAAAAGCATTTGTCCTCCAGGTTGGGGTGCACTGGGACTGGGAGGTGGTAACTGGGCTGCTTGGTGGGTGCTTTTTGGAGCCGAGTTGCTGGCTGGAGTTGGAAGAGCAGGATGGCCAGGGAAGCACAGGGTAAGCTGTGGCCCACCTGCTCCTCTGCGTACACCCTCCCCGTCGTATCAGGCACACAAACTTCCATCTCAGCAGCTCACCTCCTAAAGCCAGGCATAATCCCCCCATTCCGAGCAGGATTACAAAGGGCTGTGTGGGACCAGATGCACGTGGAAAAAAAGAAATACCTGTAAGAGCTGAAATTGATAGTTGCTCAGCCTCAGGAGAGAAACGGGGGCTTTAAATCCAACCAGGCAGTTCAGAAATCCACAGTGTCTCCCCAGCACAGCCCTGCTGATAGAAAAACCAGACCAGAGCGATGGCAGACACAGAGCTGGGATGTCCCAGGGAGGCAGATCAGGGCTGGGGGGGACACCACGGCCTTGAACCATCTCCCCCACCCCGATACCCAGCTTGGCACCACCAGGAGAGTATCACCTCCGAGGGGGCTCTCTGCTACCGCTTCATAAAGGCATTAATAAATGGCTCCAGCATCATTTCGTCACTGTATTTCCAGCCAGTTCCATTTTGGGCTGCCCATGGGGCCGGCTGGGGGGGACACCACGGCCTTGAACCATCTCCCCCACCCCGATACCCAGCTTGGCACCACCAGGAGAGTATCACCTCCGAGGGGGCTCTCTGCTACCGCTTCATAAAGGCATTAATAAATGGCTCCAGCATCATTTCGTCACTGTATTTCCAGCCAGTTCCATTTTGGGCTGCCCATGGGGCCGGGCCCCGGCACCCCCAAACCTACTGCCCAGCGTCTTTGGGGCAAAAAAAGGGGCAGGTTGTGGGTTTGCAAAGCAAAAGGCTTCGTGCTCAGACAGCAGAGGTGGGGCAGCTCCCCACAGCCCCCCCGTCCTGGGGGTGTACTGGTGTCACCAAGATGTCTCTCCAAGAGGCAGGGACAGCCGGGATGAGCCACCTCAAATAACACATTAATTAGAAGCCCCAGGTCGTGGGTGCACACAGGGCACCCTGCTCCCCCCAGGAGGGCCTGGCACGAGCCCCCCCAGCCCATCAGGGACCCAGAGGGCCGTTTTGGCAGGACACCCCGGGCCAAGGAGGGCTGTGGGGCCAGGCTGTGACTGTACAGTGGGGCAGAGAAGCCCTCACCCATCACCCAGTGACACCAGCCAGCCCATTGCTTATCTTCCCCTTCCAGAAGAGGGCCGTGGGGGGCTCCGTCCCCCCCTGCCAGCCACCCCCACCTCCACCCTGGGCTCTCTGGGTGCCATTTCCCCACCACCCTCACCTCAATCCCTGCCCTGTCTCCCTGCCCTGCTCCGGACATCCACCATTTCACTGAATTTCACTGAGTTTTTTAGAGTTGGAAGGGACCATAGAAATCATCTAGTCCAACTTCCCTGTGGGACCACCCAGAGCTTGTCAGAGCATGCCACTCAGGACAGCATCCAGGTGGGTCTTGAAAATCTCCAAAAAGGGGACTCCACACCCTCCCTGGGCAGCCTGTTCCAGGGCTCTGTCACCCTCACTGTGAAGAAGTTTTTCCTCATATTTGAGTGGAACCTCTTATGTTCCAACTTGTGCCCATTGCCCCTCGTCCTCTCACTGGGAACCCCTGAAAAGAGTCTGGCTCCCTCCTTCTTCAACCCACCCTTGAGATACTTGTCAGCATTAATAAGGTCTCCCCTCAGCCTTCTCTTCTCCAGACTAAAGAGTCCCAGCTCTCTCAGCCTTTCCTCATCAGGAAGATGCTTCAATCCCTCCATCATCTTTGTTGCCCTTCATTGGGACTCTCTCCAGCAGTTCCCTGTCCCTCTTGAACTGGGGAGCCCAGAACTGGACGCAGGATTCCAGTTGTGGCCTCCCCAGTGCAGAGCAGAGGGGGAGAATGACTTCCCTTGACCTGCTGGCCACACTCTTCCCTACACAGCCCAGGATTCCGTTGGCCTTCCTGGCCACAAGAGCACACTGCTTGCTCATTGTCATTTTGTTGTCCACCAGGACCCCCAGATCCTTTTCACCGCTGCCTTCTGAGCAACCCCTGTGTGCACGACATGTCGCTGCTGCCACCAATAAGGCCAGCAGAAAGGTGATGTTTCCAGGGAAAGGAGAAACGTGAGATGAACCCTGCAGCTCCATAAAACTCTTCCACGTCCCCCCATCTCCTTTCCCCGCTCCTCGGCTCCCTCCAAACCTCGGTGACCCCGGGCCAGGAGGGACCAGGCCTTTCCAAAGGGCGGGCTGTGGTCTTTGGCCGGGCTGTGGGGCACAGCGGGAGGGAGAGAAGCCCTCGCTCTGTGCGGGGATGGCCACAGCCCCCCACCCCCAAAAAAGATGCCCAAAACTCCCTGAACCCCCCCAAAATGCTGGGTGCTCTGGGGGGGGCTGGGCCGGGGAGGCGGGGGGGGGGCACCGGTGGGCTGTCAGAGGCTGGGGAAGGGGGTTGGCGGGGGGGTGTAACACGGGTGTCCCTGAGGACAGCGCGGCCCGGAGGTGGCGCAGGCCCCGGGGTGGCCGCGGGAGGGCAGGCCCGGAGGTGGCGTAGGCCTCAAGCGGGGCGCAGGCCTCAAGCGGGGCGCTGATGCGGGTGTAGGCCCCGGCCCGGCAGCGGTGGGTCGGCCCTAGACCGGGGGGTGCCGCCGCGCGGACCCTGCCCCAGGCCAGGCCGTTCCCGCCGGTTGCGGTCCCTTTAAGCACGGCCGGCGCCCTCCCCGCAGCTCTCGCGAGAGCCGCCGTTTAGCGCCCCCGCCCCGCAACCAGCGTCCCCAACACGGCCCGGGGCGGCCGTCGGGACTACACGCCCCATAGTCCCCCGCGCGGGCCTGCCGACCAATCGCGGCGAGGGCGGTGGGCGGGAGCGGCCGGGCGGGCGGCCTATGGCGTGGCGCCCCGCTCCCGGCCGGCTTCTCTCCCCCCCATTCCCACTCCCCCCCTGACTCCCTCGCGCTCCGTCCCCGCCCCGGTCCCCCGGAAGTGATGTCACGGGCCCCCATGTGAGCCGATTGCAACACATGCAGCGCGGAGAGGGGGAGCGCGAGCAGCCGGTGTCCGACGTCAGCGCCAGCCGCGCGCCGCCGGGGGGGAGCGGGCCTGAGGTGAGGGCGGGCGGCGGCGGGAAGGAGGGCGGGGAGGGGGGACGGCGGGCCTAGGCCCGGGGTCTAACCGCTCTGTGTGTGTGTGTGTGCTGCCGGGCCGCCACAGGCCGCAGCCGCCGCCGCCGCCGCAGCAGGAGGAGGAGGAGGAGGAGGAGGAGGGAGAAGATGGCGGACGATCCCAGCGCTGCCGACCGCAACGTGGAGATCTGGAAGATCAAGAAGCTCATCAAGAGCCTGGAAGCGGCCCGCGGGTAAGCGGCGGGGCCTGCGCCGGG